GGGGAAACTTTTTTTCTTTCGTGTTTTTCTGTCTCTGGTCAGAGCAAAATTTACCTGATTACAAACCACTTCCTCAACTGTCATTAGATCTCAGCTTTGTTCTACCACTTAGCCGGACTAATTAAGACAAGAAAGTGTCTTCAGATGTTTGTGGTGAGAGTGTCTCTGTCTAGAAATGTGACTTTGGCAAGACTTAAGAGTGTAGTATAGAGGCACGATGTGCACAATCAAGTCTGACAAGGAAGAATTGACCTAGACGGAGATACGACTTGTTTTGACAGAAAGATAAAGATCTATATTCAGACAGGGACATCAACTTTTTTTTCCCCCTGAAATTACCCACGCTGTAGGATTTACCGTCAGTATAAATACGCAATGGTGTTTTTGTAAAAGTCCTCCTTTTATCCTCGACTCTTTCAGCGAGTTGGCTTTGGGTAACCTGAGTGCTCTCTTTCCCTTTTCAACATGATCGCTGTAAACAATGACAAACTTCCCTTCTCGTCAGGCTGACTGACTTGGTCTTATTGTCGTTGTTTTTCCCGCTGAAAGAAATCAGGACTGTATGTCTGAACAGATACTGACAGAACCTTATTACATGTAGCCTCCTGAAAAAGACAGAAATGAAGTCACCACTGGGAAAAAAAAAAAACCCAGACTTGTTTGCTCAGTTTGAAAAAGGAATCTATGGCTCCTAGTCAGTGAATTTTCTGGGCATCAATGAAACTGTCCGCCTCAAACATGTACCACAAAAAACAAACACATTTAGCATTTCCTTTAATTTGTGGACCAATCACATCCGTTCTTTCTGCACGTAGTAATTTCCCCCCCCCGACTTGATCCTCCATAACATCCTGTTGTCTGAGGACATCTGAGGGACTGGACAGGTTGGACTGACCCTCCACCACATCACACACAGGGCAGAGCAGATCAGACACTATTATCCCGGCCCTGCTAATGACAGCTGAATGAGAGAAACAGACAGGAAGCTGTCCTCTGTGATCTCAGGGTCCTTATTATTGCTTGTGTATTGTTTTGTCGCGTCAGGATCCTTTTTGACTACTATTATTAGGCTGGATGACTGTGACTTGACTGCAGCAGTAACTGAGGTTTGGTGAGAATCATATAAGGAACATGTACATCCATTCTGACTCATGGTATCTGTGACTTAAAATACAAAGAAGAGTGTCTGCATTATATTCAACCCAGTCTGCCTTTTGCTGTAAACATACCAATTGTGAAATAAAGCCGTTGACCGAAAAAATGCAACATTAATACAAAGGTAAAGGTGTATACAGCAAAATATAATTTAAATATTCATAATGCCCAATAATCCAATAATGTCTTTTTACATTATCCTCAACATATTACCACATTTATCCTCAGATACAGGTCTGAAAAAACTCAACGTATACACAATTCTTAAGAGAAAATATATAAATTGATGTAAACCTACTTTCATTAACATTCGCATTTAATTCAGAACTGATGGTAGCACTATAGGAGAAGCAAATAGACTTCATCCTGAGGTAGACTGTATGTATGACTGTATGTAATGTATGCACTGAATTTCATGGCATCTATTCATGTGTTGCTTGGAAATCTCCTTCAAAATCATAAACACCAACCCAAAGGTGAATCAATATTCTACCACAGAATATCAGAGCAATCCATGCTAGTTGTGGAAATATTTCAATCTGAGCTAAATGGCGTACAAGTTGACCAAAGGATCAATTTGACAATGTGGATGCAGCAGTAAAAGGGGGTTGGGGGCAAAATGGGAAGGTTTCATAATCATGGATAGCCATTTGGCAGATGTGGAAGTAGTAAACAATAGTGAAACATGAATTATTAATTATTTAATGAATACCAATAAATGTGAAGTATAAGTTGTGCTTTTTTGAAACCATTTCATTGGATCCCTTCTACATTTGTAGATTTTAAAAGACTTCAAGAACAACAAAGAAATAATAATCAAAATGAGGTAAAGGGTGTTCTTTGCTGCCATGATTGATTACAACTCCAGAATCCAGTTTAAGTCTAAATAGCGAAACTAAATGTTTTGTTATTAAGAAATGTGGCTCTTGCCAAGTCTGATGGATATCAGAATCCGTTTGCGGCTTATTACTGTTTTTCTTCTCATGATGAAGGTATTCGAACATGTGTCACCTGATTGGATAGGAAATCACTCTGCCTTTGAAAGAGGGAGGCAACTGACCATCAGAGCCAAATGATTCATTGTGGAACATCAAGATGGTTCATCCGACGCCATGACGTAAAGACTTCAGGGTTAGTCACCTTTTCTGCTTTATCAGATGGCATACTTAACAGTCTAAATAACTCTTTGAAACTCTTCACAGCAGCCTCTCAGAGTGAAGTGACCTTGGTTGCTGCTTGTTCACTGAAACACAACAGGTGGCCATCGTCCTCTGTCCGCTGCAGCAGAGACAGGTGCTTCCGACTGCGGGCCAACAGATCACTATTGACTCTGGACAATGGAGGAAAAACACAGGAACAAGAAGGTCTAAGTCATGCATGGCCACTTCCTGAGGAGCCCAAGTCTATGCCGAGCACACAAACACATAAAACCCACCCACTCTATGAGTATAAAAAGTCAATATTTCAATGCAAGCACAAACATACTCATTCAAACTGTCTGTGTTTCTGTTTTGTTATAGGGAAACAGAGGCGTCAGAGGACAATAGGTCTTTGACCCAAATCTGAGGCTGACATAGGCAAACAGGAGGTGATTCCCAGTGCATTGAGGGGTATTCCTGACTACAGCTTAAGGACAGGAAAAAGAATAAAGTGGAGCGGGGAGGAGGGACCATCCTTTGCCCCCCCCCCAAAAAAAAACATCCACCTACAAACAATTACCACACAAAGGTCAAAAAACGGAGACCAACGTGTTTTGTTCCTGGGAGAAGAGGAAGATAATGAAAGGCTGATCGTTTGCTCTTACTGACATTTTTTTTTCTAGATCCTTGCTTGTGTTGTACTTACTCTCTGATGTACGTCGCTTTGGATAAAAGTGTCTGCTAAGTGAATTGTAGAATTGTAGAAAAGGCTGAATTGAAAAACAATATCCTAAAAATACATTTTCTTCCCAGAGAAAAACATTTCTTTTTTCCTCCACTACACTCCCTCAGTCGTTTTCTCAACTTTCACTGTCTGCTCAACCTTACAAAACTGCCAAACTCTCTCGCCTTCCTGTAACATGTGGCTCAAAGCGTGACAGCTCTGATATGCTTCAAGTTGAATCTGAAAGTAACAATACTTTGGAATCTCCTCTTGGACATCTTACTGTCTGATCAGCAGTGGAATCTGAACAATGTGTTTTGTTTCGTTTCTGACTGAACTACTGCCACGTAATTAAACCTGTCTTGTAGCGATTATCTGCATAGCTATAGAATGACTTACAGTCATAATAATGCGTCACAAAAGAATATTGCAACACCTTTCATAAGAAAGCATGACTTGAACAAGAAAGCATCTATACTTAATCCTTTCATTTCTGCAGGGAACGCATATTTTTTCATTTAGAAGTACCTCAAAATAAACCCAAATGAAGTCCAAAATCTCAGGTATATCCTTAAAAAAAAAAAAAGGAATCCCACCTCCCCAAAATGAATCATTAACCTCAGGGGAGCGACTCATTTCCTCCAGTTTGGTGCTACCTCAGTGAGCCTTATCTCATGCTATCAGTCACTGTGTTGAAGAAGGTGCCAGTGATAATGACGGTCAGATCAGGCTTGATTGATTAAATACGGAGGAGGAAGGAAGGGAGGGGAGGATGATGAGCAGAAAGAAAGAAGAGTGAAGGGTTGACCCCTCTCCCCCCTCTGTCACACAGATAAGAGCGGTGATGGAGATCCCCAGTGGACTCAGAGATAACCTCTAACTAAACTTTAAGTTACAATCAACCACTGCTCTAGTTTCTCTGCAGAACTAAGTTCTTTAGAGGGGGAAGGAACAGTGTTGAGTTTGAACTATTGCTCTAATTTCAAGATGTTTTAGAGCTTAATTCTCATATAAGTAAAACCCACATTGTTCCTTTAAATTGTTGAGTTCACAGCTTCATTATACAACAACATTGCAGTGGGGAGCAACTTTCCCTTTGAGTTTCTTTTCTTTTCTGAAGGTAGAAGTATTAAAAATGGCAAATTAACCATTCAATAGGTAAGAGCCTCAAAGCATTGTAACAAATATATGTTTTAAGGATTGATGTTGGATCATGCATCACATTTTATTCATGATTTATTTACCACAGCGTTGTAGCATAAGCTAATTTGGAATTTTGGATTTTGAAAATTTCAAAAAAAAAATCAGAGAATCGAAAATGACCAAGTACTTTAAATTTTCTGTTGTATCTTTCATCACACTGATTTACACAAGTCTAAATGGGCCATGTGCAACAAATAGACAAGAGGCTGCACAAAACTGACAAATACAACCATGAATGCAAGCATCAAGGACACAAAAATTATTTAAAGTTTAAATAATTATACATTTTAAAAGTGCCTTTAGAATGCTCTACCTCCATTTTTGGCTGAAATTAACTGCAGTAACTATCATATATACGGCATGTAAACTGCGGCAAACCATGTATAAAATATGAATTAATTTCCCATTTATTAATTTGTATTTCACTGTACATTAAATCTCAGGCAAAAAAAAAAACTAAATGCACTCCACTTTGAGTGTCATTGCATGGCCTTGCGGAACAGTCTTTACATTTCACTGCACATCTGTATGAGCATGACAAATAAAAATCTTGAGTCTTGAACAAAAAGTCTAATTTGCCCCATTAAAACATAAATGTCAATTAATCATCTTAAATTATTATCAATTAAATTAAAACTTTATCACAGGCCTTTTGTTTCTTCTTTTATCATAGCCAGTGTACACTTGAGTTTGATATTTTTTAAAACATCTGTGAGTTCTGGTTTCCATCGACAGAGGGCGCTCTAACATCTGTGCCGCTCACTTCGCAGACAGCCGGGCCCCCTCTCTTTCAGGTGCTCATTGACTGTGTGCAAGCAGATGCATCTCTCAGCGCTCTAAGTTGATGTTTTTCAGGATCCAGAGAGCCATTGCAAAACCACTACTCCACTCTCTGAGGCAACTTATTTTGATACGTGACTCCCGAACACTGACGTCCAAAATGTCTTTCCAGTATCCACAGGCTTACCGCGACGACGCAGTTGTGAGTAAATCTGGCTAGCTGAGTAGCCTAGCATGCTAACAAGCCGGGATGCTTAATCATCATGCTTTTTCATTCATTGGCATGGGCGTCTGCTTTGTTAGCATGCTAGTTAGCTTAGCTGGGTTTGACAACCAAGACTGGCTTTGTTGACATAATGCAGAGAGGCTTGCCGTTCATAGTTTGCAGCACTTCAGTTTTTACATCATTTTTTTTATTTTTTTGTTAAATGTATTTAACACACATGGAGGTGCAAGCTTGTTTGCTTAACCCTGTTTTTTTGTTGCCACACCTAGTTGATAATTTAACAGATTTTATTTGTGCTTCACCTTTCTCAGGTGGATGATTATCATGGAGCCAAAGTGCCAGATCCATACAGCTGGCTGGAAGACCCCGACAGCGAGAAGACTCAGGTACATCTGTGAGGGGGATCACATGTGTTGTTCTGCATTTACTAGTTTAAATTGTGCAGAATTACCACACGCACGATTAACATTATTTTTGTTTTTTTCAAATGGATAAAATATTAATTGTTTTAGGCAAACATCTGTAAATGGTTGGTGTAATGCATTAGGATTTTGCACTCATTTATCACTAACCTTACATTTTACAGAAAACATTGACATGCACATTAGTATCGTGGTAATGATCAGCTTTCCCTGTGACATTGAATCTTCATTGAACATCCTCTCCTGCTATGAGATTTCTGCACAAGCCACATTCCTTGTTTTTGGGAAACCTGGCTGGAAAAGTCTTTTAAAAACAGGATTGGGGGGGGTCATGGTCATTCTGCACCTTTAGAACTTATCATTTAGTATCTAGTATTTAGCCTACTTGCACATAGCTCTGTATATATATATATTTATTTCTCGTTTACTGCACATAGTTCTGTTTACATCTGTTAGTCCGATCACTGTCCTCTCATATCGACTCTTTTTATATTTTGTATTTTAAGTTTAAGATTTAAGTTGTATTTAAACTGACACTTTATATTTAGGTTAAAATGTTTCGTACTTGCACTGTTGTTAATTTACTGCTCTGTGTGCTTTTGAATTGCAGTCTTCAAAGCCTGGGTTCGTATCTGACCTGTGGCTCTATGCCTCATGTCACTACCCACTCTCTCTCTCTCCCTCTCCTTGATTTCCGACTCTATCCAGAAAGAAAGGAATAAAAAGCCCCAAAATAAATGAATTAAAAAAAAACATGATGGTGTGGCATGCTGACACTGTGTCTCGGTTTCTGAACAGTCTGTTAGTACAGAACATGAAAATAAGTTCTCCAGTGGTTTGTCACGTGGGTACTGCCACTATTGTATGCACACGGATATGAATAACCAGGTTTCTCTTGTTCCCATGGAAACATCTCATCCCCAACCAGATCTGAACCTTGATGCTAATGAGCTTATTAACACTTTCACTGATGCAATTTAGGGCCTCTTCCCAAAAGCCTGTTTCTATGAGTCAAACCTGGAACCCTGTGATAGTTTAAACGCTCAGGTTTAAATCAGCAATCGTATTCAGATAAAGTAGTACATCAGAATCATGGACTGGACCGAAACACATTTTGATGCTTTGATGTTTAAAACCTCTGTGTGTTGATATTATGGTTTTTGTTTTTTTTCCCCCCACCAGGCATTTGTTAGTGCTCAGAACCAGCTGACGGTGCCGTTTTTAGAGCGCTGTGAGGTGCGAGACTTGTTTAAGGAGCGCATGACTGAGCTGTATGACTACCCCAAGTATAGCTGTCCCTTTAAGAGAGGAAGCAGGTGAGGACTGACACGATCATGTTTAAACTTCAGTTACATGTGTGTGTGTGTGTGTGTGAGGTTAGATTAAGAAAGGAAAGGAATGTCTAAACACATCTACGATTGACATAGTAGATGTTTTTTTCACAGCTTGATTAATATTCTGAACACGATTTCACACTTTCTCACCTCATTTTCAGGTACTTTCACTTCTACAACACAGGCCTCCAAAACCAGAGTGTGATGTACGTGCAGGAGAACTTGGACGCGGAGCCCGCCGTCTTTTTGGATCCGAACACATTTTCAGACGATGGAACGGTCGCACTGCGAGGTATCACAAAGACGGCTAGAATGGTTTGAATTGTTACCAACTTTGATTTGAATCTGTGACGACTCCTTAGCTTGGTATTAATGACATCCACCCTTGCAGATTCATAAATAACTTAAATTACTGACTTTATTCATGTCTCGTTTCTCTGACTGCTTAAAGGCTATGCGTTCTCTGAGGACGGGGAGTACCTGGCGTACGGCACCAGCGCGAGCGGTTCAGACTGGGTGGAGATGCGCTTCCTGCGGGTGGAGGACGCCACACCTCTAGAGGACCGCCTGGAGCGAGTCAAGTTCAGCTGCATGTCCTGGACTCACGATGGGAAGGGACTGTTCTACAACTCGTATCCTAACCAGGAGGGAAAGAGTGACGGTGAGGTCAAGACTGTGAGGTTGCATTTAGACATGCTGCAATCCTAAACTTCATTTGGCTGCTTCGGTTATCGCTCTATAGCTAAATATATCTGTGACAAAAGATAGAAATAGAGTTCAGTTTTTCTTTTTTCCACCACTAGATGGCAGTAATCAAAATAATTATTTTTTTTGTTTTCCCAGGCACTGAGACATCCACTAACCTGCACCAGAAGCTTTACTTCCACGTGTTGGGAACTCCTCAGTCTGATGACGTGCTGTGCGCAGAATTCCCCGACCATCCGAAATGGATGAGTGGAGCCGAGGTATTTTATATTTGTTTGATATTTTCTACAAATTAGAAAACAAATGCATTTAGAGACCGCATTTGCTCGTTGATATTCTGCGGGTGCTTAGAGATGTCCTGTATTCTGCAGGTATCAGATGATGGACGCTATGTGCTGCTGTCTATCAGGGAAGGTTGTGATCCCGTCAACAGACTGTGGTACTGTGACCTTCAGACCACTCCTCAGGGTATTACAGGTGTGTTACACCTGTCACAAATATTCTATTGATTCATGTGTTGTAATTCTTTGTTCTTAATCAACATATTTTGATCTCTTATGTTGTAAATCTTTGTAGACTTAGTTTAGGGGAGCTCAGTTCTTCTTGCAGGTTCATTAAACGATAATGAGATATTCCACAATTTCCCAGTTTGGGATCAATAAAGTAAATCTATCTATCCATCTATATATATGATCTTTTATTTCAGTTTTAAGTCTTTGTATGTTCTGTAATTGCACACTCTCGGCGCTGTCATCTTTACCTTCATTCCCTCCCTGTGTGTTTAGGTCTGTTGCCATGGGTGAAGCTCATCGACAACTTTGACGCTGAATACGAGTACGTGACCAACGAGGGCACAGTGTTCACATTTAAGACCAACCTCGACGCCCCACGTTACCGCCTCATCAACATCGACTTTGCCTCTCCAGCTCAGAGCAACTGGAAGGAACTCATCCCTCAACACGACAAGGACGTGATCGGTGAGCTTCTGCAACACTTCTTCAGCATCTACTATCAAGGAAATGGAATTCAAAATTTCAACTTCCTTCCTCTCATTTCTCCCCCCATTGCAGTTTTTGCCACCTGTACGTACTCCAGCTACCTGTTTGTGTGTTTCCTCCACGATGTAAAGAATGTGTTGAAAATGTACGGCCTGAGCTCGGGGGAGGAGCTGAAGACCTTCCCTCTGGATGTCGGCTCCGTGGTGGGTTTCACAGGACGGAAGAGGGACTCTGAGATCTTCTACTATTTCACCTCCTTCCTCTCCCCAGGTATGACTCTTTTAAAACATTCTATAATTCCATACAGTTCTAGGATTTATTTAGCAGACGCTTTTATCCAAAGTGACAAAGACATGACGTTCAGACTGCATAATAACTAAGAAATGTACAAAGATACAGCCTGAAAGAAAACTGCAATAACAATTAATACTTAAAGTGAAAAAAATCTGGGTTTAAATTGCTCTATATCAGTGGTTCTCAACTGGTGGGTCGGGACCCAAAAGGGGGTCCCAGAGCTGTTTTCAGTGGGTCGCGATTGTGTGCTCAGAAAAAAAAAAACGTGAAAAAGTCCTTGAAGTGCTTTTTAAACATTCCCATTTCTTTACTCTGTAACATGATTTGTACCGTCTGAGATCCAAACTGCACCATTTTGTGTGATTTTCACAATTCTTGAGAGAAGGAATTGGTAGTGGGTCCTGCTGAAAGACCAGTTTAGAACCACTGCTCTATATAACAGTAGTTATATCTCCCACTGTAAATGAAGTGGGTATGCACTACAGGAGAAATATTTCCCAACGTATCGTCAAAGATATTCAGAATAAAAGAGATGACAGTTTTTCATTTCTCCTGCCTTCAGCCATCATTTACCACTGTGACCTGACTAAGGAGCCGCTGCAGCCCCACATCTTCAGAGAGGTCACGGTCAAAGGTTTCAGCCCGTCTGACTACCAGACCACCCAGGTAATCAAAACGACGTTCTGTTATTCATTTAGTCCATCAACACAAATTCTAGAGAAATTAGATTCTCTTGTTTTTATTTCCTTTTCTAATGCAGAATCTTTTCGTAGCTGCGGAACAGTTTTCTTTTAGAAACATTTATGGAGAAGTCTTGACATTATAAAACTTATTTATGTCCAGTAGACAAGTCAGCTCCGTATGTGCTGGTCTTACTGGTGGGTGAAAAAATGTCACAACACGATATTTTTTATGTTAGTAATCACGATTTTATCCCATTTTTTTGCTTTGGGGAGCAAATGGGGAGGGGGAGACACGTCTGTATAGGAGCATTTACTTCAGCATGATAGAATGAACACTGTGGCCCGGTTCTTCGTTATCTTTGCTGTGGCAGATCGTCAGCACGTTCTAATCCTTCACGATCTAAGATCATTATATCACACACCGCTATCTGGTCTGGAGAAAAAAAAAAAACATCTTCTATTAAAGCTTCTCAAGGCCTTTTTAAATTGATGAAAGGCCAATTTCTCTACTTTTTAAAGCAATTTTCAATGTGACATTTAATTTATGATGTAAAGACACTTGAGCTTCTTGAAGCACAGTGTCTCATCAGTTCGCTTTGTGATTATTTTCCCGCTGAAGACGGGGACCTCAGGAGTCACAGTGAAGGTTCAAGATTAGCTTCATTGTCATAGAATACCAAAGCACACTGAAACCTCACTAACCCCTGAGAAACCACTGTTGAAGATAGTTTGTATATTTCAACCATATTCACTGCCTCCGCCTGTGTCTAAGATTCCAGTTTGTTTCCTGACTCTTCCTCTCCTGACTCTTATCAGTCCTTATTGTGTCCCTACAATTCTACAATTCACTTAGCAGACGCTTTTATCCAAAGCGACGTACATCAGAGAGTAAGAACAACACAAGCAAGGATCTAGAAAAAAAGGAAACAATGTCATTAAGTGCAAACGATCAGCTTTGGGTCCGATTGGACGCACGGGTGCTGACAGGCGTTGCGCAGAGGCGAAGCACAACCATTGCACAACATCTCTAATGACGTGTCTTTCTCTGTGTCTCTGCCAGATCTTCTATCCCTCCAAGGACGGCACTCAGATCCCCATGTTTATCGTTCACAAGAAGGGAATCAAGTTGGACGGCTCCCATCCCGGTTTTCTTTACGGCTACGGCGGGTTCAACATCTCCATCACGCCGAGCTACAGCGTCTCCCGGCTCATCTTTGTCCGACATCTCGGGGGAGTCCTGGCCGTTGCCAACATCCGAGGAGGAGGAGAGTACGGAGAGACCTGGCACAAAGGTGAGGGTGTTGTGCGACGCGCGTTTTCTAAAGATTAGTGTATCACGGCAACTAGATCGGAAAGCAATTTGTTCCCGGATTCATGTGGTGTTGTCGTTTTTCAAAGAGAAATGAAACTGTGTAAATGAGTAATGTCTTTAAGGGTGCTGGTGTGTTTTTGACTTGCCTCTCTTTGAACACTACTGTAGCATTTAGCAGCTGCTGTAAATTTCTCATTCTCGATATTAAACAGCCGATAACATTCTGTATATTTGTCCCTTTTAGCTGGCATGTTGGCCAACAAGCAGAACTGCTTCACAGACTTCCAGTGTGCAGCTGAATATCTCGTCAAGGAGGGATACACTTCTCCCTCCAAGCTGACTATAAACGGAGGCTCCAACGGTGGCCTGCTTGTAGGTATGTATGCTGCTGGTGTAAGAACAGTATCAGTTGTTTTTACATCAAACGTATCACTCATTCTCTAGCCTTTTGTCAACAGACCCTGAAGCCATGAAATGAACAGTGAGGCACCATAATTTGCACATTAAGCGTGAAGGGGATTAGAGATGGTCTGCTGTTTAATGTGAGAGAAATAGCTCGTAAATGCTCAACAGGGTCAAGACTTTGTTGTTCATCAGTCTGTGGAATGCTTTTTACTGTAACTACTGTTTAGTGTAATGAAGGACAGATATACTGGCTCACGCCTGCAGGTTTGTAAGAATAGCAGCTGAGAAAAGATGCTGCTCACTTATCAGAAATGTTCTGGGCAGAGCTGCAGTACCCCTATGCAGGGATTGTTTGTGGGGCAACACTGAGTCCCTTCAAGGATTACTCGTCTCTGGGGAACGTTCCTGTTTTGAAAATGTGTCCAAACACAATAAGGGGTTAATGTCAGTTATGAGTTTTAGCTGCAGAGTTCTGAGCCCCTGGTGTAAGTGTGTGTGTGTGTCTCCCCTCCCTTCAGCTGCCTGTGTGAACCAGCGACCCGAGCTGTTCGGCTGTGCTGTGGCTCAGGTCGGCGTCATGGACATGCTCAAATTTCACAAGTTCACCATCGGCCACGCCTGGACCACAGACTTCGGCTGTTCAGAAGACAAAGAGCAGTATGATTGGCTCATCAAGTAAGTGCTCAAAAAAAGCAGATGATGCATTTGTAATGTGACAAGATGACCTGAAGGCCTTTGATCCACACAAAGATGTATTCATGACCCCCCCCTGATCCAGGATTATCACCTTGTTTTAAGATGTCATTTGGCCACATCAGAAACAACCAATTCTACCTTTCAGAGTACAACTTCTTTATCTGCACGTTTGAGTGACATTTACAACATCTTTAGTTGTTGTTTTTTATTGAATGTTTAAGCACATCTGGAAAGCACATCTGTTACAGCAAACACTGACTGATTTCAAAATAAAAGACTATTCTCAACATGCAAACAAACAGTAATTGTAATTAACAACATAAATGAATCAGCTGCTTTGTTTCTGCACTGCAACTGTGAGAATTAGTTTCTCCTGCTGTGTTATTTACTTTAGGTTCTATAAAACTTAGCATTACAAAGCAGAACTTACGGTTTCTTAAAACAACTTTTTTTTTTTTTAACATAAAAGAGATGTTTTACTGATTGACCTTTGCACCCCATCCCAACATTCAGGTTGTTCTCTTCACTTGTGCGATTATCTGAACTCCATTTGTACCATTTGTCTTCTCCTCTTCTCCCAGATACTCCCCGCTCCATAACATCCGCATCCCAGAAGGCAACGGGGTCCAGTACCCCGCAGTGCTCCTGCTCACGGGGGATCACGATGACCGCGTCGTGCCTCTGCACTCCCTCAAGTACATCGCCACCCTGCAGCACATCGTGGGCCGCAGCTCCAAGCAGTCAAACCCTCTGTTCATCCTCGTGGACACAAAGTCAGGCCACGGTGCGGGCAAGCCCACCAGCAAGGTCATCCAGGAGGTGGCCGACACCTACGCCTTTATCGCTCGCTGTCTCAACATCTGCTGGGTCAAATAACCTGAAAACTACAGTTAAAGTGTGTTAAGTGTGTTTTCTTCTTTTGTCATCCATAAGCATCTTTGGGGAAAATGCTCAAAGGGGTCTGTTCACACAGTCTTTATATCTTTACACCGACAGATGTTTGACATTTCATGTAGCTTCTAGATCTTTTTCTTTTGTGTTTATCTTCAGCTCTTTTCACACATGACCTGCACTCCTAAACATTTCACTTCATACTCGACAACTTTGGATCCTTTCAGCCGACTTTTTCATGGAAGCACCCTTGTACAGAGTCGGTGTAAAATCCACACAGGTCAGTGTGAAAACCCAACAGGTTATATTTGAGGCAGGTTGATGATGAAGTTCATGTTGAGCAGAGTTTGGTTTCTCTTCGATCTTGAACGCTCGCCCTCAGCTGCCAGTTCGCTGTTTTCTACTCTTGGGTATTTAATATAAAAACATCCTTATACGGTTTAGGAAAGAGCCCCCCCGTCCCCCTCCCCGCATCTCCCGTAGTGTAGGTCATGTGTGAAAGGACAAGTCCTAAAAATATTAGACACTACATTTTCAGGACCTCATATGTGTACGACACTTAATTTAGCCCCTCCCCCTCTCTATTCGAGCCTGTCAGGACGCAGACTCTTCAGGATCTCAGCCAACATATAGCACTCTCTGCTAACATATAGCACTCTCCTGTTGGCCATTTTTGTATCCCTAAAGAGAAAAAAAGTATCACTTGTGTGGTGGATGTCAAAAACAAAAAGTGGGCGTATCTCCACGGTTACATTAATCAGCCAATCAGCTGTTACAGTCAAAAGGTAAAAGTGGCAACCGTTAATGTCAAGATCACTTCCGGGTGTTCTTGGCGCATCAACATACCTTTTTATTTATTTGTGTGCACAGGACGGAGGCGGTCGGATGTTTGTCTTTAGCATGTACAGTTCTGACGGAACAGCGCAGTGCAAAACGATGCTGCTGGAAGTCGACAGTATTGCTGAGTGTGTGCGGAAAGTTGCAAACAAAAAAACAAAAAAAACATTGCATTGTGTGAAAGAGTGTGTGAGTGTGTGTTTAAATGTCAGTCCCCACTTTTCTTTCAGACTGATGATTTCTACCTCTTGACATGTGCTGATTGTTTACCTTTGAAAGGAAACAAAACACAATGCCACAACTACAATAAACAACTTTTTAAACAGTGATGGAGCACACGCGTCCATTCTGTCACATTTATAATAATAACTTTATTTGTATAGCCCTTATAAAACACAAGGTTTTTACAAAGTGCTTTGACACAAGAAGGAGAATGACACAAGTAGCATCGAAACAACCAACAACAACAACAAAACCCCAACAGTAAACGAACCCAGACAACAACCCGACCAACAACGGAACCCAAACATGATCAGCAACACTATAACTCAATAATTCAGGCAAAGCAGGGACACATTTAGAGCGTTAAATGACTAAATGAATGATATTGATAACTCGTGTTCCTGTTTGAGCCAACTTAAGAGGACTGAGGAACATTTAATCGATAAATGTAAGTGAAGTTGGTTTTGGTTTATGCATACATCAAATATAAATAAACTGCATTCAGAGTTTAATGAACAGTTATAAGACATGAAACACAATGTGTCAATCTGCTGTGATTCATGTTTACCTCATAATCTACAAATACATGAAAACACAACATTAACACTCAAATTCAATAAGTATGCATTTTATTTTGATTTTATTCGATTCATCCTGAAGCATTTAAATGAGATGTTAGAAAAAATGTGAAGTAATTCAAAGAGAACCTGGAGCCGCTGTTGTTGCAGTAGTGAGTGTGTAAGTATCAGCTCCTCCACCAGGGGGCAGCCAGCCTGAACAATCCCCAACACGTGCTGCAGGAGCAGAAAATGAGGGTGGTCTGACAGAGGGCCCCATGTGGATTACTCAACATACATGTTTCGTGTTCAAGAGCTTCTCTTTCATGTTCAGGGAGGACATTTTATAAAACAGTATCAAGAAACTTTACACACTAAGTCCTCAACCTGACTTTGTGCTGTAATCTCACGGGGAAATTAAATTCATAAAGAGGAGACAAAAGACAACCATTCATCATTCTTCACTTTATTTTTCCATTTAGAAAAAGCATAAACACATTCATTTGATTACATAGCACAGTGAAAGGCTTGAAGAGAACAGTGAAAAACATTTACAAAACTAAAACAAATAATGAGGCTGTTGATTATTTTTTTCTGTATTATACAGTAAGTTTGATTTCTTCATTTTAACTTACACAAACTAAAACATTTTAGACCCAGCAGAAAGAGTTGAAAAAGCCTGAACAGCATTTAAAAAATATGATACAGACCTTGATAAGAGAATTTAACAAAATAAAAAACATCATTTTAAAATTTGAATGATTTATTTGTTTGGTTATGTCACATAAACGTAGATTAACAAAACAGATCAATTTTCATTGAAGTAAAAACTGACATTTCATTAAGCCATTCGTTATTGTCACACGCTGCATGAACTCACATTTCTGCTTTGTTAAGAAAAAAACAGATTCAAGCATTATCATTAAAAAACTTTTACAAATGAATAAGAAAAATTGTGTTATTTAAAGTCTTAAATCTTTAAAGTATCCTAATTCTTTTGTACGTGTATCTCTTACCTTCAAACTACTCCAACTGTGTAACATTTAATTTAATCAAAATAGCTAAATAAAACTTAATAAAAGAAGTAGATAAAACAAAATTATTATAACTGCAGGTTTTGTGTTTTAACGTCTTAACTTCTAAGATTTATTATTCAACCAAATTTAAGTCTACATAAAGAAAGCTCTGAATCTACAAAACTAACTGTTCACTATGATTGAAGAAACACTACAAATTAAATACATCCTGAAACAGACATCAAAGTTGATTCTTCTTTAGAAAACAAGTAACGTCATTTGCATTTTTTTGTAACAAACTAGTTCTATTTTTTTAAAAGAAGAGTTTCCTTCACACCAAAAGCAAAAACTTAAAACATTTTTAAAATATTTGAACTACATTGTCTTCCAAGTATTGCAGCATTTTGGGAGCATTTATTACATATTTACCTCCCAGTTCTTGGGGGGACTCGCTAAACAACTTTTGAAGTGAATGAATGACATATAGCCCGAGCAAGAACTACATAATGGACTAATAGTTTATATGTAGGCCTGAAGAAAATATGTTTGTTTGATTTTTAAAAGAGAATATTATGACAAAAACAAATACATTTGCTAATTTTCACAAACATACTATATGAAAGAAAAATTGTCTTAGTAGTTTTGTAAAAAGGAGAGATATAGGCACATATATCCAACTTATATTTATTAACTATAGGCTATTTTCCAGCAAAAAAGTAAAGATCATTTTGGAACAGATTTGAAAGGATTGAATGAAAAGGAGTGACGTAGCTACACTGAGTGTCTTCATCACTTTTTGAGAATTTTTTTTTTTCTCGATATAAGCATAAACTTAACGATTTGTAGATCTTGCCTACATAATGTTTTTTTTTTAATAAAGTTTTTAAAGGCCTATATTCGCGTGCGTCTATGTGCACGCGCGCAGACACATTGGAACAGCAGAGGGCGCTTCACAGTCTGAGGAGACACTGCACACTAATGTGTCGATAATGTAAAAAGGCCCACATAGTTTCAGAAAGTGAACCATGTATCAGTCCAACTCTCGTGAAAAAGAAAGCTGCTGGTGCATGAAATTACAAACCAGTGGGCTTGTCTCCGTTTCCGTGTGCAGCAAGAGAAGTATGAATTAGAAAAAGAGGAAATAACTTTCACATGTAGATCAATGTTCGTTTCCACGTCAGTCCTCAACTGCCTCGTAAAACCTGATGGATTGGCTCCTTTTTTCTGATTGGCTGACACATTTGAAGACGTTCTGAACCCCCAATAGAAACAGACCCAGGGCAACTCTGAAATATTAATGCGCCGAACGGAAGCCGCCGCCCACCGCCCACCGCCCACCCACTGCAGAGGAACTATTTCACTCGGCGGAAGAACAATCGATAATTTAATCGACCTCTTTGCTAAAATTTTGACTCAATTGCTTTGTCGTCATTTGTGATCATCTGTACCCTTAGAGGCCTTCAGAAACAAATATGCAAGTAAACAAACTTTGATTGAATTTTAAATACGCTTCAGAAGTGACAGCCTACAACTGAACATAATGATCTTTTGTCTCTCTGATGTCTTACAGTAGCCATATTTTCTGGTTTACTTTTTTGTTTTGTTTAAAAGTAAATCATGAATAATCAGACTTAATCTGTGAACTTTAAACCTCACCAGAAAAAAAAATGAAAATAACAAAAATAAAAATAAAATAATAAAAATAATGTTCCTGATTTGTCAAGTTTTACTTTTTGAAATTCTGAATCACATCTTGAAGATTTTATCACGTCTGATTCCAAAACTTAATAATATATATATTTTTAAACGAATCTACATCTGCCTTCATGTAGCCTATAACTAAATAACAAACAAGGTTAAGTAGCCTTCACTTCTAACTCACCTTCAGAATAAAAGCTTTGGCCATGTCATAATAAAGTTCTTATTTATCATCATTTCATTTCTTGTAATTGTGAAAAGAATGTTTACAATATGTAAGGTTTCAAGGAAATGTATCTATCTATCTATCTATCAATCTATCTATCTATCTATCTATCTATCTAGCTATCTATCTATCTATCTATCTATCTATCTATCTATATCTAATTAGTGTGGTGGGCAGTCTTTTAGGGAACCTTTGGATGGCGCTATTTATAGTATTCCTCTACAGTTCTTTGGTCTTATCATCTCCTGCTTTGGGACCAGTTTCTTGTAAACTGAGTGTGAGAACAGGAGCCTGAGTGATAAAAAAAGCAGATCTCTGATCAGTGGGGGAGTTTTGGTTTCTTTAAGATATATTGTTATTAAAAAGCCTGTCTTCTTTATAACGACCTATGTTGTTATATATTTCTAACTATACTGTCCTTAAAGGGAATCCTGTATTTTCTGAATTGTTTAGACTGGTAAACAAGCTGTGAGGGGAGGGGTGTATGTAGAAGGACACTTATCAACAAGAGAGTGAGAGGTGGTTAGAGGCCGGGAGAATGATGGGGGAGGACATGGGTGCCACATGGTCTGAGGAGCCATGATGATACACCTCTGAGACATGCTCTGATTTAGCTTAAAATTATTTCTTTCTTGTCTTGTTTGAGAACTTTTAAACGAGCTCCATTTGCAGTCGACTTCAGCTTCAGTGTTTACTTACTTGTGACTGAAAACTGAAAATGGGGAGCACTCTGAGAAGCATGCTTTTGTAAAAAAAAAAAAAAGAAAAGAAAAGAAAAAAAATTGGGACCTCAAAATGAAAAATGCCCCCCATCTACAGATCATTTTGGGGATGAGTTTCCAGATGTGTTCTTCTGCAGTCAACCTCCTGCAGTAATCTGTATTGTAACACTCTTAAATCTGCCTGACCCTCAGGCTGCTGCAGCTTGTGTTACAGTCACTATATAAAATATTCATCCATGGAAAAATCTCTTTGATTCCAGCCGGTCACTCGGCTTCACGCTGCCAGGTTAAAGTCAGCCCTGAACATGTAACTCAAACTAGAGTGTCGGCAAGCTTCAAGTCAGGCAGGCTCAACCTTTTTTTTTTTCTCCCCTCCACATAATAATCCATCAGAGGGGAGAAACACTTCTCCTGCCTGTGCCATCTCATTCATTCATAAACAGGAGGATGTCCACTCCCTCTCCTTCAGGTGAGTCCTTTTTTCCTCTGTTTTTGAGACTAAAAAAAAAGGTTCTTTTCCTGCATAAACTACGAATTTCCCGTCAAATCGCTCTAAATTTGAATGCTATTTGGTTTGAACTGAGCTCACCCCCGAAGCTGTAGAACCTGCTTTTCATTGACCTGAAATGACCGCCTTTAACAACATGACACAGTGATGGATCGGCTCGTTTATTAAACCCATTCAATAAAGTTTTGAAGTTAAAGATGCGCGCGCAAGGCATGAATGAAAGTTATCGGTTTTAGGAATTTAATTGAAACATGAATCAAACACAAGTCCTTAGGCACGGAAGCGTGAAGAGATTACAAACAAACTTCATCCATCACCTCGACTCATCTTTAACTAGGCTACCTAAATTAATGCTTGCGAAATAATAGTTCGAAATTTCGTTAAGAAAATGGATCGATCAGTCTGCCATCAGACAAGGAAACAGTTCTGATCAACAGAGTGGACGCATTAAAAAGATAAAGTTCAGTGAGACAAAGAAGAAAAAAACAGTCAATAAAGTCATACAGACCAGCAGAGTCCCAGCAGAAAATCAAACCAAACGAACGCGTCAAAATTGGAGAATCGGAGGAGATTAAACGCAGATTTGTTTCCATTGTGCGCAGTTTTCAGGTTTTGGCGCACCGGCTACAGAGCCGCTCCGTCTCCAACAACCCCCCCTACCCCCCCCCCCCCCTTCTCTGACGTCACTGATATTGAATCGGATATTTGCAGCCTGTTTACTACTATTTGATTCGACTTCTCGGATTAAAGAAAACAGCCCTGACCACATCACTCTACCCAGAATGTTATTTTCAGAATGTGTCTGTTGTTGCCTTCCCCTTAAACTAAATATAAAATCATAGTCCTTAAATCAAGAAGTGAAGGAAAACAGTCACAGAGGCACGAGGAAGTTCTCGGATTCAAAGTTTCTTGTGAAGACATTAAATGCGACTTTACAAAGAGTGAAATGCTGATTTAAAAGTCGGAGTGATGGGTCTCTTTTGAAGCATGGATAAACAGAAAACGTGTTGCAAGTTCTTGGCTTTGCTTTTGTTTCCAAGTGTGGTGCACGTGGCACAAGTGTAGTTTTTTTTTTTTTTTTTTACTTCAATTTTCTTTTTTCGTTGACTCAAAATATTTCTTAACGAATTCTGAGTAAATGTTAAAGAAATCACTTTAAATAATTACAAATAAAATGATTTTTTGCCCATTCATCCTCTAGTGAAGGAATTCTCTGATCATATGAATGAAATCTAAGCACATTCATATTGGCCTTATAGCTTAAAATTTCTTGATGATCAGTTAATAATGAAATGAATCACGTTTTTCTTTATTAGATCTGTCAAATGTCCACACTCTCCTGTTCTTGAAATTTACCATGGGAGCAGATGAGCTGCCTTTGTAACACTGTTTATACTGGTATCAAAAAGTGAAAGATTGGTGTCTGGAATGCATGAAGTAAACGACAGAAAAATAACCCCCTCTCTGAGAAAGAAAGGAGTAAAAGGGGAGAGGGGAACTCAATGAACCCTTTGAACTGCATTGACAGCAGCAGGGTTAAGGCAAATTTCCTCTGGGAGCCTATAGGGTGAGGAGTGGGGGTTGGGTGGGGTTAGCTGGGGTGAGAGAGTCCGAAGTCTGCTCAGAAAGTTGGTATTCAAACAGCTCAGGAATCTGCTTTTTACCCGAGAGCTTAAAAGCTCCTGATGATATCTTTAGTCGAGGTAAGAAACTACTAAAGAAGATCAGACTGATTCCAGTTCTCATCACTTCAGTCAGTCTGAAGGGCTCCAAACACAGACTTTCACATTGTTGTTTGAACACGTTTCAAATCAAGAATGAATGAAAAATGTTGCATTTTTGCAAGAAAAGTGACATGCTGGGTTTAATATGAGACCTTAATGATGACTGTCCATTTTTCTTGACTGCAGCAAACCCTCACTTTCATTTTTCAAAGTGAAACATTCGTTTACTTCACCCTCCCTCCTTTCCAAATGTTTCATTGTGACTGGCTGTGAAATATCAGATACAGAGATGGAAATAAGTCCATGATTTGTGCATAAATGTGCCAAAAGATGTTGATGCATTTCATCCTGTTGATCACATTTATTGATGGACCAACGAGAGAAAAGAAACACAGCTTGAGTTTGAATCTATGTTGACTGCTGGCCTCACAAAGATCCATTCATTCATTCAAGAAATAGAAAAATTTGGAAAACATACAAGTTTCTAAGTTGAAAAAAAGATGTGTTTCCTAATATTTATGAACATATGTAGATCATGGGGGGATGATATATTCCCAAACATGCATTTAACCTTTCAGGAGAGAAAAACCTAACCCCTAAATGTCTATACACCATTATCTTTAACCATGCTGTTAACAACTTTACACTATCATACTTTCAGTTAGAAATAAATGAGTTATTCAAAGAGCTTTGTCAAATCTGGAGCTTTAAGCGGGGCCGACTCATGAAAACATAATCCTAAACTTTGAGAAGTTTCTCATCTTTATGTGCTCCTTTTCATGAGTAGAAAAGTTTTAAAAAATGTCTTGAGCTCTAAACAGTTTAAAACAATCTCATGCTGCACAATGACAGCAAACACAGATGAAGATAATGTCGGTGATGATGTGAATTTCATCAGACTGTGTCGACAACGTCAACAGAGACAATTTAAGGAACAACAAAAAAATCCCTGACTGGATTCAGGCAGAAGTTAAAGTACAAAATCACAAATTTAAGACTGGTTCTCTGCATAAATAGAAAAGGTAAAAATAACTGGTGAAAAGTTCAAACAAGTTTTACAATAATCTAATCCTGCAGCATGAAAGCAAAGAAAAACACAGAACTTTGTAATAATAATGAGATAAAAAAAAAGGTTTGTAGGTTAGAGAGAGTGCAATGGTTGTTGAAGTTAAACTTGCAGTTTGTGGTGATTGAAAGACAGATAACTTCAGTAAAAAAGGTCTTTTCAGGGTGATGTTACATTTTTCATGTGTGTGTAATTACTTGGTGCCAATTTATTTTTTTAAATTGTGTTCAAACAAAAAAGACCAGGGGGAAATAGATGGACAGCTGAAGAGAAGTTTGTAATCAAAACCAAGAAAGAAAATGCTGAACTAAGAAAGACCTCTACAGTGGATGTGTAAATAAATAAAAAAACAACAATAATTTAAACTAAGAAAATGTAATGTAAAAGAAAAAGCATCTCTTAATCTGAATGCTCTCATCAAATAACAAGAGAAGAAAAGGGGATTGATCTATAGATTCAAAAACGTTCTCCTTATCATCCTTAAACGTTGAAGTGTTATCAGAATCAGAAGTACTTTATATTAATCACCAGGGTGAAAATATCCTTCCTGCTTTAATGTTTTTATTATTGTAGTGCCATGTTGGGCTTTTAAAAAATCTTGATCAAATCTTCTGTTATCAAAAACTAGTTCTTGTAGAAAAGACAAATAAAAGAGTGACCATGTATGAATTAAAGCTGGTGTGGATTTTTAAACAAACTAAGGTAGACAAATAAATAAAACTCACTAAAGCAGCCTCATACATCCACATAAATTTTTTTTTTTTTCTGCCTTCATTTTCTTCTCAGCTTTATCAAAGTGTTCACTAGTCCCTTCCTTTGACTAACAGTCACACCCAAAGCAGCCATATCCGAGTCTCTCCTTGTCGTGAGCTTGCACACGTCAGTGAGCTGCTCTGCTGTGATTTCCCCCGACGTGTCCTAATCAGAAAGGTCCTGTCAGGATATGAGTGAGTGGATAACATCTGACGCTGGTATCCAACCCTGTGACCCAAACAGTAATTCTGTGGCCACAGCGAGGCCTCCTCTGCAAGCATCTTCAAAAACAGGCCTGAGCGCGGGGGCGGGGGCTGGGATGGAGGGATGGATGGGGGGAAGGGGGTGGGGGGAGAAGCTTGTGAATTCCGGAGGGTGGGCTCTTGAGCCCCGGTGGGTGGAGATGGGCCTGTTGTTGCTTCATTCCTCCAACGTGTTTTTCCTCTTTTCCTCGTAGCCGGGAATAACCCCTCTGAGAAACATCCCACCAGGGTAGATGTGAGATAAGAGGGAAGTTTCTCAATGAGCGTAGTATTTTTCAGGCTTGTTATTGATCTGCTGTGTGGCCTCAAGTAACCGCATGTATGCTCGGACCTGTTTTGGCTCTGCACTGTCTCTCCCACGTTGGTGGACATGGGGTGGAACTTGACTGTTTAGTTTTAGTTTTATTAAAGGATCAACTTTGAGAAGAAAGATTAGCCTATGTATTTTTTACTTATTTAAAAAAAAAAAAATCCAGGTTCCACTATTGGAGAAAAGTTTAACCCTTTATTCTTTATACATGTTATATTTTTATTTACTGGGGGGGGGGGGGGGGTATAATTTTTGATTTACATTCAAACAAAAGGTAAAAACTTATATGATTGAAACAATTGTGAAAATCTAAATAAATACAGAATGTACAGGAAGAAAAAAGTCTCTGCTGAACAATTTGTTCTAGGCTATTTCTATGATTCACGTTGGTGTTTTAAAGTATTATCAAGTAGTCAGAATCAAACTGACAAAAGTGATGAGTACAAAGGAGAAAATACTGAATAACACTTAACTAACATTTTAAAGTGACAGGCGTAAACAAGTGAACAGAACCAAAGTGATGTCAGCTTTAAGAAGAACAAGGTTATAAATAGGCTACATCTCTTGTTTATTTGTTTATAACTTTTTTTTAAAAGCGTAGTTATCAGGATCGGATGTTTACAAAGATGAAGCTTTAACTCTGATGAGGTTTTTTTTTCTTTTTTTTAGAAAGAAGCATGAATGAAGTTTCCAAACTGCCAAGTGTTCTAACAAAGAGGAAATGAAACAGTTATTAAAGTTACAATAATCAAACTGAAATGAGTTATATAGACAGATTAAAGTTGTATAAAAACTGATTTAATGTTCATGAAACTTGCGTTACTTACGTTTTCTATAAAGTAGGATAACACATTTTGAAATAATCAAACTAATATTGGTGACAGATATGAAAGTTACAACAGGAGAGTTTGAATATTTATCAAACCAGAAGTAACAATCATGAAGTTACCTTTAGGAAGGTAAAAGTCGGATCAAAATCTGATTTTTTAATTTATAAAACATAAGTGTTTAAAAAAGCAAGCATAAAAAAATAATAAGAATACAACTAACTGAAGTTAATGAAGCTAAAAGTGTTTTAAACTTTAGAGAGCTTGATTTCAGATTGACATATAAAGAGTAGAAATGATGCACATTGACAACCAACCACATAAATGAAGAGTTTTTGTATTTTCTGTTTTTGTTTTCCTAGGATGACTTAGTGATGTCAAACTTTACTGAACGTAAACTGGTTCATACTCTGATTAAACTTCTGATCCTTTTCAACTGCACAAAGCAAAACACACTCATAAATGTGTTCATGCTCCAAACTTACTCACATTTAATGCTCACTCAATATTTTTTTTTTAAGTATCCCTGAGGACTGACTTTCTCCTGACAACTGCAGATCAGAGACTGAGCACATCAGTTTCCAGGTTTGTTTTTCTGGGTTTTCCAGTCACATTCCTAAGCTGTGAGTTCAGCTCTCCTCTGGTGCCCAGTATATGATGCTGGGAGGTAACTGGTCGTACGTTAGGAACATGAGCTCCAAAACAACATGTCCATGAATGGAAGCATGGAGAATAAGCATTACATTTTGTACTTGATAAGATACTTTGGTCTGAGGGGGGAAAAGGGAAGTCTGCTCACTTGGCTCTGCTGGATGTTATATCTGCTGTACAGACACATTCGACTGAAATACAAAACTCACTATGAATCTATGTTAGGATTCAAGTGTTAGATAAAAACAACCATTGGGTCTCCATGTTTTATTGGAACCAATTACTTACTGTATGATGTAGAAGCTAACTTTTAAACTCACTGACTCATTTATATTGGTGTAAAAATGTGTAAACATGCGTCAAGGTCTTGATGGAAGATTTAAGAAGTTGTGCAGGCAGGAAATGCTTCTTTTTGTCACAGAGAAAATAAACTTCTTTATTTGCATTGAGTTTATGTAAAGGGAACGACTTTAATGTATGACAATTGTTTTACTGCTGCAGTGGTATTGACAGTGTTTAATGGAGGTTGACTTTGCTCTTGAATACACATAATAAGCCAATGTGCTCACTTTAATTATTTCCCTGTTCTGTAAAGCACAACCTCCTGAAATCACATTTTACAACAACTATGGATGCATCTGTTTCAGAAAGGTTCAGAGACGTTTTAACCAATCTGTAGATGTTGTCTCTTATTAGTTTTATATCATTCGCTTTTCTTCTATTCTTTTGTTGTTGTGCCTATTTCTTCATGTTTATGTTATATGTTTTCTGTTTTCCTGCTGCTATGACTACATCAATCCCCCCCAAAGGAATCATTAAAATTTAATTGAATCCCATCTAATCTAATCTCAGGGTATAATAGCTTCATGTGGCCACACCAACCCCTTCTGTTGCAGTTTTATCACTCCAACAGCACACAGTGTAAATGGCTCTATACGCAGCCTTTTAGCCTATACGCGTTTTGTTTTTTTTTGTTTGTTTTTTTTATTCAAACTCACAGTGCTTGTTTTCAACGTAAAGCTGCTGCACGGTGGAAGTTGCGAGTCCGATTCCCTCTGGTCTCTCTGCACTCACAGGGCAAAAATTAGTAGCAAGAAAGCATGTAATTGACAAAGTCACGTGTTCTCACTACGGGAACGGGCACAGCCAGCTCGCGAGCGAATGAGAGCGAAGGAGAGAGAGGCAGAGAGAGAGAGCGAGCGAGCGAGAGAGAGAGAGAGAGGAGGGAGAGAGAGCAGTACAGAGGTGGTGTGAGTGAGGAAGGGATTGAAGGGAAGAAAGAGAGACATGACAAAAATATCAAAAGGCAGAAAGCACGCCGTACCATGCGAGCTCAATTGGTGACCGATGGGATCGAGGATGTCGGATTAATGGTGACGACCGCAGCCCGTTTTCGCAGAGGAAGCTTCTCTATTGCAACTTGGGCGCAGAGGGTCCGCGGGGAAACATGGCCGAAGGTTATTCTGCAATTATTTTCCTATTTTTCTGCTTAGTTTCCCCCCCACCCCCTCCCCTCCCGTGCCGAGTGGAGAGGTGGTGGTGGTGGTGGAGGTGGTGGTGGGGGAGCTGAGAGGCGGCAAGGTGCAACGTGATTGTTCTTCCAAAAAAAAAAAAAAAAAACCTCCAAAAATAAGAAAAACCGGACTCGAGCCGCCCCTCGCGAGCAACACACCTAAAGCGTGTTTCGCTGCGTTAAGATGTGAACATTGTGAGCGCGTATTCTCCGCTCTTCTGCACACTAGTACAGCTCGAGGAACCATGTGTACACCTGCCTTTAGGATCCTGTAGCCTACAACTCCACACACACACACACACATAGCAGGAGACAAATCCAGCACAAGTTCCACTACTGAGCATGCCTGTGCACGAGACAGAGCTCGAGCATCTGTCATGAAGTAACAAACTACTTCACGATCACCACGCGCCAATTATCTGTCCAAATAGCAGTAGCAGCCTTTAGGACATTTCCACCGGCCGTGAACTCCACGTAGCCGCTGTTTGCAAGTGAAGGGGATTCCCTCCCCCCCCCCACACTCCCACCCCCACGCTTCTTCAAGAAGTTTTTACGCAACATCGCCCATTAAACTTATATAAACCGGAGTGCGCGAGGGAGAGGGAGAGAGAGGGGGGGGGGGATAGCAATTCTGTAATGTAGTCAATAAATGTTCTAACTTTCCGTGGATTGTTTCAGGAGGGCCGGGTAAAGGTGGCGGAGAAGACCCCGCCAAGTCCGCCGAACAGGAGGACCGGACTCGACCTCCTCAGGTTCTGTCGGGATCAGGCTTCTGCAAGTGGTTCAACGTCCGGATGGGCTTTGGATTTATCTCAATGACCGGCAGCGAAGGGAGCCCCGTCGACCCCCCTCTGGATGTTTTCGTCCACCAAGTAAGTTACCGTCGAAAAGGCACGAAATAAACACGAACCCCGCGAGGTATCGAACATCTGCACCGGCCTCGCCCGGATCTGGTTTCCCTTATTAAACAGCGGCGGATGATTGATTAGTATAGATTTCCCTTTTTTTTTTTTTTTTTTCTTCTTTTTTTTTTAATTCCCACTACTTTCACTGTCACTTCAGTTCCCATCTTAAAACCCGCAGGCCCCCTTTAGTCCGCCTCCACATTGTACCATCCGGATGTTTTGCATTGGCCAACATGTTAGTGTGTAATCACACGTTGTCCACGGGCTTGACAAAAACACGTTTAAGTTTCCTCTTTAAGCCACATGCGTCCAACTCTCTCTCTCTCTCTCTCTCTCTCCCCCCTTCCTCCCTCCCTTTGCTTCCCTCTGCACTAAAGAGAAGGGAAGAAATGTCGTGTGGCTGTGACACGGTTAGTTTCACACTTGGCTCTAATGGACAGCAGAGCTCGCTTCCTATGCACTCAGCCAACATGTCGGAAAGCATGTTTAAAAAAAAAAAAAAAAAATCTGGGGATGCAGTGTTTAAAGCTCCTTTCAGTTTTGTTTTGTTTTGTTGCCCCAGCGTGCAGTTAAACTGCAACACAACATCCCGTTACGTTTCCACTCACTGCTCTCCATGATTTATTGCACATGCAGTTCATTTCTGAGGCCTTGGTTTCGACTTATTCTGCAGCAAACAAAGAGCACTAGTAGCCTATCCTCCCTTCTTTTCAAACGTTTAATCGTGCTTTTTTTTTTTTTTTTTTTTACAGTCCTGTAAAGTGGCTTTAAAATAGTCGGGGAGGAACGGCAGAGGATTAGAGGAGGCTTTTTCACTAGTTTTTCATTTGACACCCTCTCCTTGAGGTGTCTTTATTGTTGACTCACGGGATGTTGTGCTGAACTGGTGGGAAGAAGGAGGAGGAGGAGGAGGAGGAGGAGAAGGAGGGGGGTACATTAGAGGTCAGATGTCAGCAGTGACGTAGAGGTGGATAAAAAGAGATGGCTCCACTGATCATTATCAGGCAAAAGAGGAGTGTTAAAAGAATATACATTGTGCTTAAAAAAATGCTTTAATATGTCTCCCCTTAAGTCAGTTTTTTGTTTTACTTCAATAAGCTTGTGCAGTGATTTTTAAAAGCTGCATTGCAGTCCTCTGTTCTGCTTAAAAAAAAATAGGTTGTTTTCATCTTTTTGTTGGGAGTCAGCAGGTGACAAATGGGAAAGTTTGCACTGCTGACAAGGTCTTAAATACTGTTTTGACGAACTGTCACAATGATTTTTTTTGTTGCTTTCATGTCCCTTAAATTAGTTGCTTTCATGTAATTTAAATTGACTTGTCTTCGTGTCTTCTCTTAATAATGCACCGTGTACTTTCAATCAATGCTATTTTAAAGCTAGTTTTGGATTTTTCATTCTGAATATCACATAAGAACGTGAACATTCACATCAAGCAGATTATTATGAAATGGTTTAAAATCTGTAGGAAATTAAAAAAAGTAAATTCTGCTGAAAGAATAAGCTGATCTTTGGTCCATTTATCTCTGTAGTCAGGAGGTGGATTTTTATACTTTAAATATGAAGCCTATTTTATTATTTTGCCTGCCTTTACTGTGAGGATATACGATTTCTGAGGTGCCGTGAATGTTTTAAATAAAGGAGGATTCTTATGAAAGTACATATCACAGCATTGCAGTATCAGTTATTGTGATTGATATCTTCTTATTGTGGCTCCATCGACTGAATGTGTGCATCTATATCCAGTAGATAACTAACTAATATCCCTGCTGGACAGAGATGTTATGGATGATGCCAGAAAGATGGATAACAGTGGGGAAGGTTTGGTTTAGGAAAGAAGCTTAAAATGCTGAGCAGAAGTCAAATGAACAGTTTCCATCTCAGCAGTTTGTAACAGCACAGGAATTACTGCTGCTGTGGGAGTATCTTTCAAATGCATTCAGAGATTTTAAAGCATCAGCTGAACTATGCATTTGTATTGTAAAGATGTAGAAAGGACAATGTTGGCTGCGTGTGCTCTGGATAATGATTTTCTTAAATCCTGCAAAATTTGGCTTCAATTTGAAATGTTTAAAAAATATACAAATGATCCCCCCCCTATAAAACCTTTAACGGTACACAATATATGTTTACAGGAGTGAATTCCCCTCTGTGTTTTTAGCTACATGTTTGAAACAAAACAGCTGTCATTTAGTGTGGACAATATGCATTCATAGGCACATTGTCATATTGTATGCAAAGCAGTCTGTTCCTCTGCATCCATCTATACACTCTCATTAAATCAGTCACTCATTTTCTGCCACTGTTCCTCCCTCATGTGTTTTGCTGCTGTCACTCAGAAGCCATTTTGACACACAGAAGCTATTCAAGGCGTTTTTTTAGTAAACTCTGATGTGTATGTTTAATTAAAATCCTGCAGATTGTCTGTCATGTTAAATCTCATATTTAAATTTATGTAATGGGCGTTTGGGGAATATTTCAAATTTGTGCAGACCTGCATTAAAGATCAGACTTTGTTTTGCAAGCTTCCTGAGAGACACATAAGTCATTTCATATTTTCTGCATGTATGATAAAAGGTTATTAGCCAGTTATTAAAAGGAAAAATGGTTTGGAAATATTCCGGCTTTTTTCCTGCACGGTTCTGATCCTGTGTGTTGAAAAGAGAAGGGCTGAGGTATAAGAGCGATGGGGAGGGGTCGAGGGAGCATGAGGACATGAGAGAGAGGGGGAGAAGAAGAGAGGAGGAGTTTTCCTATAGGAGAGGGAAAACGAAGGGATGTGGGAAAAAAATAAGTGTTGGTCGGGGTGGTGGTAGCGGTAGTGGAGGTAGAGAGAGAACATGGAGGGGGGGGGGGGGGGGCAGCCAGCAGTAGCCAGGGAGGAAAACATATAAGCAAGAGGGTTTGAAAAAAGAGTGGAGGAGCAGGAGGTAAGAGAGGGAGGGTGAGAGTGTGTACGAGTCAGCGAGAGGGTCTCTTCCTGGGAGGCCTCTTCATCTGGGCTCCTATCTGATCACTTCCTTTTTGAAGGTGTGTGTCGGGGAGAGAGAGAGGGAGAGAAGTAGAGAGAAGGGAGGGAGGGGGGTGTGGGGGGGAGAGTAATTAAGCATCTTCACCCTCTGTACCTCTCTGCTTAGCGATTCTACACACAAAGCCGTTTCATTATCTCTGTTTGTCAACCTCTCCTCTACCTGCACTCAGTGTTTTTTCTCTGTGTGTTATAAGTGTGTGTGTGTGTGTGTGTGTGTGTGTGTGTGTGTGTGTGTGCGCACGTGTGTGTGTGAGTGTGAGTTCCTGCTGGGACACGGGGGGTGCTCTCTCCTCGGGCATTCTTTTAAAAAGAGGAATTTCTTTAAAGACAAAAAGGCAGGAGGGTTGGGTGGGGTGAGGAGGGGGTGGTGGCTGAGGTGGGGGGGCTGCTTGCCCTTTGTCGGTAATCAGTTTGAAATGTTGAACAGTTTGCTGCTGCTGTCCTCCTGAGTGTGTGTTCAATTTATGGAGCCTGTAAGTTGGTGTGTGTGTGTGTGTGTGTGTGTGTGTGTGTGGATCTTACTTTCCCCTGCTCACCACCAGGTTGTTGGTGTCTACATGTGAACCGCTGTAAGATGTTTTAGGTTGTTGTTTTTTTGAGTGTGTGTGTGTGTGTGTGTGTGTGTGTGTGCGCGTGCGCGTGCAAGAAAGTGTGTGTGTGTGTTTTGTGTAGCGAGGTTAAAGTGGGCCCCTAGTGAGATTAACCTCTGGTCCGTGTCACCGTTTGGCATGCAGGCCCCACCCATCTCTGCCTCCAGATAGCCAGTATCAGGCTTTGTCTCTCCTGCAGCCACACTATCCCCCCCCACACACACACACACACACACACACCACCACCACCACCACACACTCCCTGCTCCTCCTCCACCAACCCTGCCTTCTCTTCAGCACATCAAAAAACGCGAAAAGAAGAAGAAAGGCTAGTCATGTGACTTCCCTTTTGAGGAGCTGGCCACATAGAGCAGAGATGATTGGTAATTGGAAAGGTGGCGGAGTAGAAAGCAGAGCAGGGCTCCAAACAAGTCGCAGTTCACCTGGAACACAAAGAGAGCGCCCGCACAGTGCTGGCTGTGTTTGCACCCCTGACATTTATTTAATTTATTCGACACAGACTGAAACATTCAACAGTAAAACATTAGATAAGGCTTGAGCTGACATTTAAGTCTTTAAGCGTCTTTTGTTCTATTTTAGTTTAATTTCCTTGCGGGAGAATTATTCAAATTTTCCCATTTGAGTCCTCAAGTCACAAACATACTGCAACTACCAGAAATTACAAGAATTAATTATCTGTGTATTCATTCTTTTTTTTTAATGTGAGAAAACGGTTAAATGGCCATCAAGGACATTGTAGAGCCCAATGTTTGTTTTAATAAATGTTTTTTTATTTGACTGAAAAAGGAGAAATTGAACCAATTACATAAATATGAAAAAAAAGAACACTCACGTTTGTACGGTTGGCAGAAGAGAATCCATCTTAAAAAAATACCTCAAGAATCAATTCCTCCAAAAGCTATTTGTGATGATTTGTTTTCCGTCCGTCAGCTGATGACAAATTGATAAATAGATTCATCTCTGTCGTGAAAGAGGAGGAACGGAATAGAAAAAAATCTCTTCACGTATGAAAGTGCAAAGCAAATGAGTATGCAGTAATGTGTTTCGGGTGTACTTGTGGAAGCGTCGCATTTGTCTGAAATAGTTTTTGAAATGCGTCACGTTCAAGTGTTACACGGCACATCTTTTAAAATTAAAAATCTTACATTTCAAATCTCCACTCTTTGTAAAAAGGGCTGAGAAAGAAATCAAAGAAAAACACGTTTGTGAATATGTCTTTGACCGATGTACCACTTTATGTAATGAGAGGTGCTAAATTTACTTCACACCAATTTTGGTATCATTTATTGTATTTTATCAAAATATCACATAACCTCTTTCTCTTTAATAGTTATTTACTATTTTAATTTAGTATTTACAATTTCCTTATGTCGGCGTTGCTTCCTCACATTAGTGAAAGAAGTGAAACATTTGAGTGTAAGCGTGCTTGTGTTTTGAATGGCTGCAGTTATTAGCAGGCTGTGTGTTTTATCACCAGTCACCTCAGCGAGCTTCATTTCCTCTCTCATGCTGATAAACGTAGCAAGATGATCTAGTGCTTCCTCCCCCAGATCAAATATTTGCCCCAGTCATAATCGGGGGTGTTGGATGTTGTTAATTTGAGGCAGGGGAAACATGAAGTCTTTTAAGTGTTTGATGGGGGTTGGGCAGGGTTCAGGGGTCAGGGCCACTAATGACAACGTGTTGAGGAAGGCTTGGGTGTCAGCGTCATAAGAGCGGCTCTGTTGGTGGTTTTCATCGGCGTATTTCTTTTTTTGTTGCCTTTTTTCCCTTCTCCGCCGCTCCCGTTCTCTCCCCTCTTTCTTCTTTTGGTTTATATGCGTCCTGTTGGGTTATGTCCATCTGAGCTGATCTGGCCCAGCTTTGTCCACTTAGCATTTCCTGTGTGTAAAAAGCTACTTAATGGCACCACGCCACATGGTGACCGCCATCCCCGTCACACGCACCCCCTATTCCTCTTTAACGCGAGCAAAATCCAGCTTGGGCCACCTCTGATTTAAAGCATCCCATAATTAGCCCTTCCATACCCGGTGGTCGCCACGGTGAGAGAGAGAGAGCGAGAGAGAGAGAGCGAGAGAGCGAGAGAGCGAGAGAGAGTGAGACAGGCAGAGGATGGTGGGTCTCCTCTCTCTCTCTCTCTCTCTCTCTCTCTCTCGCCACTTCCCCATCCCCTCACGTTACAGCTTCCTGTATTGATTGCTGGGCCTGGTGATGACGAGGGCCTGGCTGATGAAAAGGAGGGCTATTTCTATCCAGGATGTTGGGAGTCGGTATTGATCGCCGGCTCCATCCTACACACACATGTGGTGCTATAGGAAGATATTTATTACATATACGGAAGCCTGCAAGCATTTTTCTGGACGAAGCTGGTGTCCATTTTGCGGCTCGGTTTCTTCCTTTTTTTAGTTGTGGTGGCTCTTGAGTGAAAGTGTGAGAGCTGCTGTGGTCTGCCACTCGGGTAGGGGGGTGGTGCTGGGATGGTTATACCGCTGACCCCAGGATTTCTGCTTCTGACCTGTGGGGCTCCTGATCAAATGGGGGTTTTGTTCCTGGGCTCCCCCCAGGTCCAGCCACTGATCAGGAGTTGCTCCTCCATTGGAGCTGAACAGAATGCGCTGGAGGCATTTCCATGAACCCCCCCCCCCACCACCACCACCACCTCCTCCTCCTCTACTCCACTCCCATATCCACCTCCCCCATGCTCCAGGCCACTCCTCCATTTTGTGATCTCTCTTACGCTCTCTCTCTCTCTCTCTCTCTCTCTCTCTCTCTGACGTTCTTTCGTTCCCTCTCCGTGGCCGTGCCCTTTCATGACCTCTGTGCGTAAACTGAAACGGGTCAAGACACCCGCCATGTCATTCAAGTGGGAAGCGACTCGGGTTACAGGTTCTGATTTGTGAAGTTTTTGTTGTTGTCAAATGCATACACATGGAAGCACACACACCACACACACACACACACACATGTAAGTCCACATGCTGTGTTTTATTATGTAACTATGGAAAGACTGAGCTGCTTGAGAAATTGAACTCATCTGAGACATAAGAGGCCCGATTGGATACCTTGTCTTAAATGGAGGAGATTGTGTGTGTGTGTGAGTGTGTGAGTGAGAGTGTATGTATGTGTGTTTTCCTGCGTTTCTGCAGAACAAAAGGGGTTGTGTGGTTTCCTCACTGGTGCATTGTGGGCATTGTCGGGGTTGGAGAGGGGGTAGGGTGCTGAGACAAACCACTCAACTTTGACCTGGAGAGACAAGCTGCTTGTGGTCTGAAGACAGGAGAGGAACAGGAAGGGCTCGTGCGCCGTACAGTCTACAGACCAGTCGATGATTATTCATCATTATTCAGAGTGCGTTTTGGTTTTTGGGGAATGGGCGCACATTTTAATGAGCCTTTTTTTTTTCTGATATCTGCTGCAAGGAGGGCCTTAAAGTCATTTGGATGGTCCAATGATTAAAATCTTTATTAATTAGGGGTTTAGTTGAAAAGCAGGGTTATGAATGTTTGAGCTTCTTCAGTTTATTTATTTATAAAACAAATAGATATGGTATGCATTGGTGTGTGCATGTACATGGATTGATTACTGAATGGTTGAAGTGTTTTTTTTTGTTGCAGCACTGCCACTTGTGATCGATCCTTATTGGTTGCTTAAAGCCACAAGCTCAGTTTGTTTCTACCTTCATCATTCCTTCCTTTTTAAAAAAAAAAAATTCCACCTTTACTGTTCCAAATCTTTACATTCCCCCATTCCCATCCCCTGATCCTCATTATTTCCTCAAAGCCAAATCCAATATCTGAACGAGTCCTCCATCAGCAATCGGCTGGAATAGAAACAGCCGCAGCTCTAACCCTAACTGACCACAGCCAGAGAACCGGAGAGGAAATCTAAGAGGGAAAGCAATGATTGGATTTTTAAACCATTATGTTCGATATTTCAAAAACATCGGCCTTCCTGAAGTAGAAGTAAAGAAAACGTGAAAACAATGTAAAGGAGGAATAGCTTCAAAGAAGTTTGATATAAAGGCACAGTTTGTCCGTCTTTAACTTTTGGATTTTCAGAGTTTGAAGCCTAATTTGAATCTTTTGATTGTTTTCATTGTTTTGTCTGATATCTTTTGGTTGTGATAAATTCATTTGAGTCATTGGTATTAACCCGTATTCATTTTTAATTCAAGAAATAAAGTGATGTTCTGAACAAAATACATGTTACAAAATCAATCTCACAATGTGCATAAAATAATACAAATACATTTCCAAATGTCTGTTACTGTTTTGTCAGATTTATAAAATTCTACGAGTAGATTCGGGATATTTCTTGGCCATAAATAAACCTATTTATTTTATTTTAAACAAAAATAGTTTTTCTTTATTATCTAATGTTGAAACTTTAAATGTGAGAGGGAACTTTTTAAAATTTGAAGGTTACAAGAAAACCTGGAAAAACTAGCTAACTGCTTTTAGATTTAATTTAAACTTGTGATATTTATTTTATTTATTATCAAAAGTCCTGCTCTAATCCCTTTTTATTTCATTTTACTGACATTAAGTCAGTGTCTTTTGAAGTAGATAGTTTAAAACATTTTTTTAAATGTATCAAAGTAAGATTTTTGACAAACTGAAATAAATTAATTCAATAACAGTTTGTATTGTTCCTTTCAGCTTTTATTTAAATATATACATGTTAAAAAAAAAAGAGGTGTATTAATGAAACAGTGCAACATGTTTTTTTTGTTCTTTTTAGAAGCATAGAATAAAACAGGAAGCACTTTTAAAGCATGTTTCCTCTTCAATGTAACCAGAATCTTTCACTTGTTTATTTCATGGTGCAGCAGTATAGCCATCTGGAAACACATATAAGTGCAGAGCTGAAACACTATTCTTAGTTTTTAATTAATTCACACTTTCTTTGTCACTTCCTGGCTTCTCTCTTTACCATTCCCACTTATTCTGCTCTTTTACATTTTCATTATACTATGACTAGAGCTCATATGGAGCACCTGTAAGTGCTGTCGTCGACAGACATCATAGAAGAAGAATAAATGCTGCTGAGCACATTCTCTCTCCTTCCTCTCTTGTTTCACATTTGATTCCCTCTGCTCATTTGCTCCTTTTTTTTCTTCCTGTCTCCTACACATCTGCCTCTACAGCGGGCGCTGAATTTACAGATCGCCTGCATTGTTATTTTTAGGCCTCGATGTATAGTAGGTAGTAGGTTTTTGCTCGGCACAATGCGTGCTTGTGTGGGTGTGTTTACCTATGCTGAGATCTGCAGGGCTCGCTGCGATTCATGAAGGTCACAGGGAACAGTGCATATAAGCAGTCAGTTCTGTGCCATCATGAAGACATTAATCATTGTCCGGTGGTTATGGAGTAACTAAATCAATACTGGCGATCATGAAGATAAGATGGATGGTGGATGTGTGGAAAGAAGAAGAAGGAAAAAAAAAAAAAGGTTGCATGGTTGCGACTTTTCTCTTTTCCCCCCCGCAGAACGAATAGGAAGTGGTGTCTCTGTGAAAAGTAGATAAAGAAAGTAAAGAAAAGATGCTGTGTGTGAGATAAGTCCCTCTGTGCACAAGGCTGTGATGGCAGTTGGAGCTAACCGCTGGCAGTCAATCCTCCATGTTTGAATTGATGTGTGCATTATGTGCTGCTGGCGGTTGTGTTTTTGCTGCATTGGAAGCAATGCTTACAAAACCCCGCAGGAGACGCTTGAAACAGATCTTTCAGTTTAAACACCTTGATCTGATTTCCTTTTTTTTGACACCGACAATAATAATAATTAAGTGTTAAAAAAGCGTTGCTGGTCGCTGAGCCTTGTACTGTGCGGACAGAAAGTAAAAATGGACGCATTAAATTGAGTCTTTTCATTGCTGAAATGATGTTTACATGATGTCAACGATGTTTAGCTCTCTTTTTCACCCACCTAATGAAGATATAGCATTGATCAAGTCAAGGTAAAATACGTCAATGACTCGGATGAACGTTATCTCACTGCTGTGTTGTTGTGTGTGAGTTGCTCATCAAAAACAGCATTACACAGATCATGTCGTCAAATGTTTCAGCTTTTATAATGAAATCAAATAACCTAACACAAGCATATAATATAATATAATATAATATAATATAATACTCTTAGCCTACAACAACCTGAACCTCCACTTTCTTTAACACACACCCTTGTGTATTTGGACGCATTATCATTATGAATTCATTGAGCTATAAGCGCCAGCCTGCTTTTAAATGGATAATTGCTTTTTTCCTCCCAACAGAGCAAACTGGTGATGGAGGGCTTCCGCAGCTTAAAGGAGGGTGAGCAGGTGGAGTTCACCTATAAGAAGTCCTCCAAGGGCCTGGAGTCCCTACGGGTGACCGGACCAGGCGGGGGACCCTGTGCGGGCAGCGAGAGACGACCCAAAGGGAAGGTCCCACTCCAGAAACGCAAACCAAAGGGAGACCGGTGAGTGTGGGAAATTTTAGAAAATCATACAGAAGACGTTTTGTATCTGCATAGATGTAGTGATATGTGTGTATGCATGTATTTCCCATAATTCTCTGCTTCAGCCATTAAAAAAAAAAAAAAAAAGAGTGGAGTGCTGCATTCAGAAAGCTGCCTATAGTGGTAGGAGACATATGTTATATGTACATCTCACTGCAGCAAGCGATTTCTGAGTGGGCTGAGATTATAGATTAGATCTATTCAATCTGCCAGACTATATGCCTGTTGCTATGGTTATTGTGCACCTTAATAAGGAATTGAAAAGGGTACTTTGCCTGCCATCGCCGCTATATTAAATCAATTTGTCAGCTTTTACATTAGAGATGGCACTAGCACAGGGATGGTTTGGGCTTATATGCATCTCAATGCTGCAACAGCTCAATCAGTCGTTTTGTCCTCAGTAAAATCTTGCTTCGCTTAAATCTGCCAGAGGGAGCCATATGGAGCTCCTTGAAAACGCCTGCTGGTTGAAAGCAGAGGAGACAGAGAATGACGTATGGGCGAAGCAGACAGGCAGAGGCGAGAATTACACTGTATCTGGGAAGGTGTCACATGATTACAATAGAAAGTCTAGCTTTTTTTTTTTTTTTATACCACTTTTTGTTTCCTGTCACATCCAGTTTTTGTTGAGCGTGAAAAAGAAATGCTTGTGCTAGAAATGAGGAAACAATATCTGAGAGAGAAGGCTCCCTGATTGGTTTACGCAGCTGAATAATTCAGCTTATTTGGGATAATTGATCCAGTGTTAGGTCAAGTGTCGCTACCTTTCTGCTAAGGTGGTAGCACCAAGGCAGTGTTGGATTCAGACATGGCAGGTAGATGGCTGTGACGTAATCTTATCAGTGTGAGCGGCTCCTGTGGCAGCTACACGGCTCTGACCCCTGCTGGCCACTCTGTTATGCAACCATGTCCTGTGACAGTCGTTCTTCATGCTGGTGTTCTGCAGTTTGCAGATCTTTTAAGGTGTTCGATGTAGAGGAGTGTGTTGAGATATTCAGCCTTTGTGGATATAGTAACTGAAGTACACATCTGGAATGCTTGCCAAACACATTGCTTCCTGGAGACATTGTCTCCATTAAATGAAACAACACTGCTCTGGTATGCTATGAGTTATTTCCCAAATATGTTCAGCCATCTTGTCTTCATTAGACCAGTATCTAAGGTGCTTTCCAGCTTCTTTATTTCCAGCATAGATTACTAATTAGTCAAGTTATCTCTGAATATGTGTAGACGTTATTTATTCCAGAGAGAAACCATTATAACAGTTTTTAATAGAAGTCAGTTTAATTTTTACACATGATCATTTACTGGGTGATGTTCAAATCAACAAATCTTTGTTGATCAAGTCTTGTTGCAAAAATAAAGAAAATTAAAACGCATTTTGGATACAGCTACAGTATGTTTATGCAAACGAGGCATTTTTTGAAAAATTTAAACTTTTTAACAACTTCAGCAGGTTAAAACAGATGCACTGTAAAATGTAAAGATCTTACAATTTTTTTAATTCATTTTTAATAGAATAAACCTGTTAAAACATCATCCTTAAGTCTGCTATGGATGATCTTCTCGATACAGATAAAATGGACACGTGTCAGTATTTTTATGGTTTTGTTGGTTTACTAAATCATGTCATGGAAACTATTTGATGATGCAAATTTGTGTAGAAAATCGCCAGGGTTTAAGACGTGAAGCTAACTTTAATAAAAAAGAAATGCAAAACACATGGAAAAAAATCCACTTTATTAAATATTCATACAACCAGATCTATTAATGTGTTTGTTTTCTAAAAACTGAAATGGGGTTTATTTTCAGCTGGATGGTGAGCATAAAGATAAATTGTTTTTTTGGACATATTTCAGCCAAAGTTAAGCCGTCTTTAGGATGAACTGCATGATTACGTTTCTCTTCAGTGATTTTCTAACATGCTGAGCTTCTGTGTTCATGCTTTCTTTGTTCATCATATTGGATTAATTGGAGTTGATTTCTAGTGAACCACTTCTTTATGATCGTGTGACTGCTGGCTAGCTTCTCTGTGAAGACATTATTTGGACATGTGCTTTGATTAAAGTCATCGTGAAGCCCGGTGATGTGTTTAACTGGTATGAAGAAAATGACTAAACAGAGGATGAGTCACATGTCCGTGACTCTGTGGCCTGAGGAGAGTAGAGTGTTGCACAGCAGACCAGCATTAATAAAAATGGAATGCCTAAACCCACTCAAATCGTCTGTTTGATTTAATGTTGTGCTGAAATATTCGGCAGAATCCGGGCAGGCTGGAATATCGGGCAGATATGCCTTCACAGCCTTTTCCACTCTTTCATCAGCCAATTGCTCCTTGTCAAATTTAATAACACTGTGTTGTCTTCATGTCAGCGTGCTGCTGCTTACAGTAGATCCAGAGCAATAGCATGTGTTATAGCACCATCTAGTGGCGGATATAAGTATGGGCAACTCTACAGTTCAAAGTCTTGTAAGAAGACACTTTTTTTTTTTACAGTAGGATCACTCCTAAGCGTTTCTTTAAATAACATGGTTCTATTATTAAATCAATATAATTGTATTCTTTTGAAATTATTTATTTTAGTTTTCTGACGGCAGACAACATTACACAGAAATAGGCAGAAAAAACGGAAGAATTATCTCTGCAGTCCTCATTTCTACAATATTAAGAACTAAGTACTGTGGAAGAGGTAGAGTGTGCACACAAGATGAATAAAAAAATATCTCAGAAAAAGACTCAATGGAAGAAAAGTAAAACATCAATGAATGAAGTTTGCTAAGATAAGTCAACATCACGAGGTCCTCTGTTGATCACCTCCTCAAAATCTGTCCACAGAGGCCTTCCTTATATAACCTGGAAGCTGGAAGCAGCTGTGACCGTTATGAAAAATCCCATAAACAATAAATAAGGGAAAAACGTTTTCACGTTCAGCCAAGCTGTGTCACCATCTTGATAAGATCACAAAATTAGTGATTTTTTTTTTTTTTTTTACCACAACATTCCAGGAACTCCCTTTTTCTTGTTTGCAAAACTAAGTGATTTAGGGAACCAGTCTAGTTTTTTTTTCTAAAGGTCAGGCCTTAGGTAGTAAGAAAGACTATTTGTATTTATGAATGGAAACTTGGATAGTAGAATAGTGGAGTTATGATTGTGCTATCCATGACTGTTTTCATCTGAGTACCTGTAGTCGCACCATGGTATATCTTCAGGCTGAAAATCATTATTACGTCTCGTCAAGTCTCATGAGGTGTGACCATAAATCTGTTCAAAACTGTTCGGATCAATCAATCAATTAAGATCATTAATCACAATTTAAAATATCTGAATTTCTCCTTTTAAAATTCAGAAAATTTGAAACGTGTCACATTGAAATTCAAAGAAAGCACATAACAGCCTGTTGTCCAAATAGCCTTAATGTGATAGACTTTCATTTCAATCAGGCAGTGTTTGATCCTCAAAAATTATGAAAATAAACCTAGAACTGGAAGACAACAGTAACAACCTACAGATACAAACGGGTATTTAGATGATTAACCTGTCATTCCGGTTCTATCATCATTCAGCGTCAGCTTTCAGAATAAATGTAGGCTTCTATCAATCATATTGTTTAAAAAAAACAAAAAACTATGAGCTCTCTCCTCTGTCTCTCTTCTGTTTCCAAATATTTTATCCCCCAGATTTCAATCTTTCTACTTCAACTGGTCTGCGTCCTTTACTAACCACAGCATGATGTACATCTCTGTACATGTCGTATAATGTATCTGTTTGTAGTAAATATCTTGCATCTACGACTGGTGCTACTGAATATGATTTAATCAGCCTGATTGGACATGATTACGCAGCCCTACATCCACTTCAGTATTTCTAACTTGGCGTCCAGTGTGAAATCGTTTGAAGAGTTACGATCCAGTGCGACTTCAATGTGTGCGCAGAGAATAACAAGACAGTCCTGAACTTCTGTCTCATGAATCAAATAAATGGCCCGTCACGTCTAGTGTCGCTGGGTATGTTTTTCATTATCCCATTGTGTCCTCTCTCCTCCAGCTGTTATAACTGTGGAGGTCTGGACCACCATGCCAAGGAGTGTGGCCTGCCCCCTCAGCCAAAGAAATGCCACTACTGCCAGAGCATCACGCACATGGTGGCTCAGTGTCCCCACAAGGCGCTGGCGCCCGCCTCAGGCTCTCAGGAACAACAAGCGTCTACCTCGGCCTTCAGCCCAGGGACCGGGCCCTACCTCTGCCCCCCCGAGGAGGAGGAGCGCTCCGGCTCGTCTCCCCTGGAGGGCTCGTCCTCTTCTCCCGAGGAGTCCCACACACGCGGCCCCCGGACCCAGAGGTGGAGGAAATCCTGAAAACAGCCAGTTGAGGGGAACCTTTTCACCGCTAGCCCCTGACCCCCCATGTCTCCTCTGAATCAAGGATACCTGAAGTCCCGCCCCCCTTACAACCCCCCCCCCCCCCGCCCCCCTCATCTACCTCACACCTGTGAAAAATGGGAGGTCTTGATTTCTATACTTTATTATTTTTTTTTTATGTTTCAAACCAGCGCAGCTATGGCAACGATCACCGGGGTACGGACATGTGTGAACTCGTGTGACTGACTTGCAGTCATCTGGTGCAGCTATGGCAACCACCGCTGGAAAGGTGACTGCAGGGAATGACTGTTTTTCTTGTTTCAATCAGTGCAGCTCAACAGTGAAACAACATGGTATGAATCTTGGTTTGATGATTTTTTTTTCTCCCCCCCCCCCCGCCCCCCTTGTTTCGATCCCTCTTGGACCTAAGCGTCCGCCATATTTGAATGCTTTCCTTACAGTTATTGGATTTAAAGCCGTAAACATATATCCTGTAGGCCCGATCATTCCGTAGACACATGATGCATCCTTTTAGCGCACATGGTAGCTCATTTTAAGAAGGATTAGAAGAAGACTTTTAATAGCTCAAGACCCTCTGAGCGATAATCCAGACTCCAAAGATTGTTAGCTTGGTTTTTAATGATCTATAGGGAAACTTTATGGATTGCAGAGGGATTTTTTTTATTTTTATTTTTGAAAAGACGATGGGCTGCTAAACACATTCTCCGCAATCTTGAAACGCTGACTACATACCTCTCTCTTCCATGAAATAGACGGGACCAACTGATTGTCAAAGAGTGAGAATGTGTGTTTGAGAGTTAGTGTGTGTTTGTATGGGTGTGTGTGTGTGTGTGTGTGTGTGCATGCTTAGAAAGAAAAACAAGACTGGGATCAACACTATTAACACTCAGTATCCTCTTATTAGAGTTAGTCACGCCTTAGTTATGATTTCATATAATCCAGATGATTTAGACTCAAAGTAATGGACTGATCATTAGACTTCCATTTCAGTTGTTGCATTATTAGTTTGAAATAACATGGCAGTTTATAAATCATAGTAAAAGTCATTAATATATATGTAAAGTCACAAGATATAATTGAAATTCTATTAACTTTAAGTCATGCGTATATAAGGAATTAGCTGACATAGGTGAATAGCCCTGTATATTGCATGGGATACTTTGTTGTTGTGTGATATCTTGTAGCTCTCTCTCTCTATTTAACCACAAATCCATTATTTTGTACTCTCCGCCTTCTTAGTCAGCAAATCACCTCCGACCCAGCACAAACCGAACGCTCGCCTTGTTTGATTAAAGGTGTAGTTTCAGACCCGTTCAGTATCATCACAGCTGCTCTACTTATGAAATACCTCACCCCATTTCTTCCTCTTGAAGATGAATGTCGCAGAAGGTCAAGCTGTTTTTTTTCTTCTTTTTGCTCTCCCATCAAGTGAGATCCAACCACCTGTCCCTCTTCCATCTGTGCCTACCAGTTGTTAGTTTAGCGCAGCAGCAGCAGCAAGCCAGGTAACGCCTGTCTCCTCCTTAGTGTGAGACGCCGTCACCGCTGCTGCTGCTGCTTTTAGACTCACTGAAAACAGGGAGAGACGGAGAGAGAGAAAAAAGTGCTGCTATTGGTATAACTTGACTCCCAAGCATGGCTTTAGTGGCACTTATTGTGACCTAACAACTCTTCTCTGACCATATTGAATGTGAAAAGAGCTTATCTGAAGTCGACTCCTCACAAAAAGTTCACTTCGGAGTTGTATCTTAATGTTCTGACAAATCAAAATAACTTTGTATGATGACATGAAACTAGCTTGTGTGTGTGTGTTTTTTTTTTAAAGCTCTAAGTAGACAACCAACTTTTTTTTGGTATATTTCTATACCAAAGAGTTTGGCTTTATTTTTTGAAGGCAATTCAAAGTTGAGACTTGCTGAAGTGCTTGCTATCCTTGCCCTTTCACAATAAGAGAGACTTATTGCTGGAAGTGCAAAACACTGCAGTTGTAATCGTTTTTATGTACAGCTTTTTGAATGTGTGCGTGCGTTAAAAATCAAATCTCAACAATGCAGCATGACAGGAGAAAAAAAAAAAAAGAAAAAAAAAAAGAAGTGAATGACCAAACCCCATTAAGGAGCACAGCCCATGCTCAAACCTTTATGGAAGCGACATCTTTTTGTATGGTGTATTTTTACATTTTTACACACAATTCCTCTCAGGATGATGAACTGTTCTCAGGGAATTAACCAAAAAAAAAGTGTATTTTATTCTTTTGGGAATCATCCACTGACTGACTGAACAAACTCTGTTAAGCAACGGTGAAGTGACATAATGTAACTGATTCATGTACTGATTTTAGCAACTACCTCTTGAGTTATACATAGTTGTGCATTTCTTTTTGTATATTTTTTTGGATGAGCTTGTATGATTAACTTCTAGGTCTCTATTGTACTGAGGTATTGTGTGAGAAGTTCCCTTGTGTTGCCACAGACTCCCTGGTCTTCCTTCCCATTTTTTTGATGATTTACTTTTCCCCTTTTACTGCAAAACTGTTATTTTTTTTGTTTACAGCAAAAGCCTACCTCATATGCGCTGTTCCTTCACAAGCTCCTTACCTCCTCCCAGTTCCCCCAACCTACTTCTACTTTTTAAATCGCCACTTGTCGCACTAGAGTCACTCTGCATTCTCAACAAATCAGCCCTGAAACGGCTCTTCACTTGTGACTCCTAAAATACCTTACAATCAAAACTCTTTTTGAAGGTTTTTAACACAACTTTTCAGAATGGGCATGTTAGTCGAGTTTTTCTGCCTGCTCAATGTTTCCTTCTAAACCATGACTTAGCTACAGACATCTAGCAAGTGTACCTCAGTTTGTTGGGCTTGATACTGACATGGCAACTCAAAAACTCCATACAAACACATTTTAAAGAGACATGGACTGTTGTTTTGAGTTTGTATGTATTTTATCATTGCCGTTTTGTAACCACTTGATAGGATGGGCTTACGGTGGCGACGACTTGGATTGTACTTCACACAAGGAGTGCCTATCTACGTTTTTTTTTTTTGTCTGATCCTCTGACCAAATAGATCTTTTTTTTTTCCGTGTGGGCTCCATGGTTATGGCCTTTGTCAGCCATTTTTACAGCCTAAGATAATCAGAAGTTTTGTGGTTTGGAGATGATGCCCCCTCTTGTTAAAAAAAAGTCATTTGTACTTTAAAGCGACATTGTTAACATGAAAGAAATCAGTAGGTTTTGTACTAATGGTGACATTACATAGACGTCATTCTAAAAAAAAAAATGTTTATGAAGTAAATATTGTTATCAGTACCTTTTTTTTTTGTTTTTGTTTTTTTAACTAACTCGTGAGAGCAAAGATTGATTTTGCATGTAACCACAGTATTACAACTCAAACTTAGCTGACATTATTGCCAACAAACAAAATAAACAAAGATGGCAAAATAGTGAATAATTGTTGTTAGTAGCTTTATATTTGTTTCCAATCATTGTAATAACTGATTGATCTCTTGTGTAATGTCGAGTTCAGTATGAGACAGCCAAGAGACCTTTTATAAGATTATTCTCCTTAATGTAGTAACAATCAATTGGTAGTCATAGATGTTTGTCAAGGCTGCATGTAGGATAACAAATTCATAGATTTTATGTTTTTATATTTCCCCACTTGTCTTAAATTTACAATCAAGCAATCAGGAGACAACAGAGCAAAAAGTCTTTCCCATGCAGTCATCACGAATGTTTCAGAGGTTTTTTTTTTTTTTTTTTTTTTTACAAAAGACTAAACCTTGGTCAACTTCATTAAACAAGTTGTATCTCTGCTGGGCGGGTATGAATCTTTGACCTTTAAATCTGAACATGGTTGTCACTGATGTACTTTGCTGCACAAGAAAAATACAAGTAATAAACATAAAAAAAATGGAATGTGTGCTCATCATAATTACTTAAAAATTGTATCAAGTAAAGACTTTTATTTGACCAAAACATCAATTTGAGACTGATGTCTTTTGCATTAGCTCACTGTTGTAAAGGTAACTGGATGTTTTATTAATGACACTATGATAATGATATTTATTGACAAACTGGGATGTGTTAGCCTAACTGTTTGAAAAATCTTGGTTTGGTGTATTTCCCACCTTTTATTGATTTGTATAGACAGCTTTAGATAACTGTAGGCCTGACTTCCGGGTTAGCCGGATTTCAAAGTAAGCGTTTCCGAGCGATTTCTGACACATCATTATAAACTGTATATGGTCCAATTTCCTGTAAAAAAAACAAAAAAAAAAACTTAAGACTAACTAAAATATTTGAAAAGTTATTCCAAAATTGTTAATTTCTACAAAGCAGAACTGGAATAAGTGAGCATGTAAAAACTACAACTTCCATTACGTCATCATAACTCCATTTCCTCCTGCTGTTTGACATCGCTGGGACCCCTCTCGTCTTCTTATCTGTTAAGTTTAGTCTGCGAAAATTGTTATGTAAAAAGGTCGCTTAAGAGAAACTTAATAATAAAATAAATAAAATAATACTAAATAATTTGCATGAAACGACCGTCCTTTTCCTCGCATATGACGTGAGCCGGAAGATGCAATGTGGACAAAGGATCAGATGCTAAATTTATTATAGTATGAGTATTTAAAAACGTAAAGTTATAATCAATTAGAGAGCTCACATCCGTATTATTCCGGAAGTTCCACTTCTTTCTATGGCTTAACCAGCACGACGAGTCAGGTTAGCACAGGGTGAAGACACAGGGAAACACTTACCTTGGCTCAGAGAAAAAAAACATCCACCATCCAGGAGGCTACAAAGGATCAAAAAAACAAAAAAAAGAGCCTTAGATCGATGTTTGAACAAAGCCGTCTCTTCACATATTCAAAATCGTCAAATGTTTGCACAAAAACCATGTGAAACTGTATTTCTGACACACAAAATTCTGTTAAATTTCTAAAGGGGGAGGCTCTTCATCAAACCTT